AAATAAAACAAAAACAAGTGTACTACATTTCGTATTCATTGTTTCTAAGGAGAATACCCTAAACATTTCTTTCATACATGGGTATTTCCATACTTCTTATTAGCATAAACACTGTTTTATAATTACTGAAAAGTCATGTGATTCCATAGTTTATACACTTTTTTTTTTTGTAGGAGAGGAACTCTACATTGAATGTTTTTTTTGTAATACTATAGACTAAGTATCAAAAATATTTAAATAATTACAACTACATGTGCATATATTTGAACAGAACAGAAGTACTGCCCACATCAAAAACTTGTTTCTCACGACCAAACAGCCTGTTGATTAGGCCAAGTTACAGCATTAAATGTAATTCAATGAATCCACCTAAAAAAAAAGAAAAAAAGATGTAAACACACACATTACGACTAAAATATCATTAACACGTGGGGTACCGAACTAATGAAACAATGTATTCTATTCTATGTAAGTAGATATGTAAGAAAAGTATATTCAATTACTTATACCGATTGCCAGTATGATTTTGTTTGGTTTTAAGCACATAGCTTACTCTAATCAGAAATTAATATTAATCAAAAGCTTCTCATTCAGTTAAGGAGGCAACAAGCCAACTGTAAAATGTAAAAAATGAAACTAATTGATCCGTTTTAACTGTTATTTAATATTCTCTTTCTTCCATTACTAATGCCTTCATCAAAAACATTCATTATGTTCTTTCTTTAAACAGTTATTAACTTAATGATATAATTTAAGTACCTTTCTAGTCTCCAATATCCTGATTTAATAAACGAAATAAGATTAAGCTATCCTTTCTCAAATTTGTTAACCTAAACAGGTATGCTCAGAGACGAGTCCAGACCTCATGAAGTTTGCCCCCAAAAACCTCAAAATATTCCCAACAATAATTTTTTTATGTTCCAAAGTATTAAGCCCTTTATCTGTATGCAATAATACAACAATTAAAATGAAAACAATCAAATTGCCACTACTGTAGAGTGCTTGCATCTGTAAGATAAAAAATAAACAAGTTTTGTATTCTTTCAATTTGTGAAAATTTATCCAAAATCAAGACTTAGGTCTGCCTAAAGCTACAAACCCATTCTTGATTTAGACTTACGAACTACCAAAAAAAAAAAAAATTAGGACAAAGTAAACACGTAACTGTTACACATTCTAAACAAGTCATAAAAGAATGGGCACTTATTCAAGTACATGTGGACACGTCCCTTTCTTTTCACTTCGCCGAGCACATTTCTCAACGCTCGGTAATCAGAAGGGGAAACACTGCTACCTCATCTAAGAACTGGGTTTTTTTAATGTAAGTAAACATTTTGAAACACTTCTCTCAGTTTAGTGTATGGAAAGTTTCAAATTAAGATATCATAGGTCTAACTTCCAATCTTTTTAATCTGTCTACAAATTAATAAAACACCAGCTTGATATAGCAACTCATATAGTACATTTATTCTCTTCCAAATACATACACAAAACAACTTATTCCAGAATATTCTGCAAGATTCTATAAACAATTTTAATTTCACAAACAAAGTACCAATATCCTTAAGAACTAAAGAACATGGGCAGATTTCTCCTCTAAAGACTACATAGGGCTGAAGACGTGTTGAAACTAAAATTTTGTTCTAAAAGTATTTTTTTTTTAAATTCAGCTAACATAAAGATTTTTTTTTATTTTACACTAAAGAGTCTCGGATCTTTTCAAATCTTCCACGGCAGTATGCAAAGTCTTCACAGAGATTTTAATCAGTTGTTTGTTTCAGCGCTTAATATATAGAAGAAACAATTACCAGAACTCTCTTGAACGGGGGGTTATGGAAGATAATTTAAACATTATTAAGGGGCTAAAGTAGAGAAATTTAGTTCAGTACATCAGCAAAATATCAATTTGTGATGCGACCAAGGCAGTATTACAATTAATCTTAGAGCTTCTGCTTTCAGATAAAAATAATATTCTGCAACAGGTTCCAGACCTCAGATCTGGTAATTAGATCCTATGTTCTTCGACAAAACTAATTTTGGTTGGTTCAACTTTTCCTTTAAACACTGCCTTTAGCTTGGTGCTTCTCTGAAACATTTTTTTTTTTTTGTTAGCCAAGTAACACACCACAGCACTTTTTTTGTCAGCACTTCGCTCGACTAATTCTAAAGTACTTTTTTTCAGCTAAATAGCACCTGAAACATATTTTTGAGCTAACTATAAATCAGAAACACTTCCTGAAGCTACACACGATTACTATTATACTACTCTTTGTTTTTTTAGCACATAGAATTTAAAGAGAGTACACGTAAACAAATAGAAAATTTCATCACCATACACGTAAAACTACATTGCTTTACATTGTTATCGATACCTGCAGGAACAAGTTTTGTGAAAAACCAAGGTTACTTTTATGAGAACCATGTTATTTTAGTCTTCAGCTTTGAAAAACTACAGCAAAATGTGTCATCACAAAATTAGTGAAACCCGTAGCTACACAACTAAAAGAAAAAGTCATTTGCAAAATGTGTGCTTGTTAACACGCTCACCAATAAACAAACATACAGTCTGTACTAAATAAATTGAAACTCGTGATTTTATTATCAATTGTTAAAACAACTTTAGTATATTAACATTACTAGCAGTGCAAGTTTTTAGATGGAAACTTACTGTAATTTAGAATTCTGGTAACATTCATGTACATGTAACATGTTTACTTTTAGAATAAAACAAAGTATTCTTCACTTTATGCACACTAGTGTTTTCATTAAGTCTAGAAACACGATTTTCATTACCTAAATACACAATATTTTTAGTTAAACTGCCATATATTACCTGAATGTACCTTACCATTATCTCTTATACCCAACAGTCAGCCTAGCACTTAATCTTGCAGTGACCACTATACCATGATTACAAAGTACCTTACTCTCATTAACATCTTCCGCAACTTAACTAATATACCCTGCCAACATCTATGATTACTAAGTATCCCCTCCCCTCCCTAACGTAATCACTGACCTACACATTTCTGACAAAAAATTTGAAAGCCTTTCCAAAAATATGATGAAAATTATCTTTAAATTAAGTTCAAAATTAAGACAGCATTATTTAACCCACTGTTTTGGTTTATGCATTCAATTCACAAATCAAGTTGTATGGAAGGCCAAAATAATTCTAATGTAAAACATTTAGGGTCAGCATTGTCTTAAATGTTTATTTTTTTGTATATTTTTTTAAAGATGGGCTAAAGTTTTCATAGAATATGGCTTACATTTATATATTACCATCATGATAACACATGTTCTTACAGAAGAAATTCTGTAAATGCACCAACAGTTACAAGGCATGCGACGAGCAATGGATTATTGATGATCCGTGCATGCATGCTTAGATCTAAGCACGTGTAGTTTCATCCATTCGAGCTCGTTGACCACAATAAAAAGTCAATGTGAAAGGAAAACAATTTTAAAAGTTTGTACAATACTTTTCGTTGTTTGTTATATTTACATATTTAAAGAGCCTATTCACTTCGAAATACTTAATCTGAATGTACAGAAGAACAAGGCAATTAGTGTAATTTGTTAATAAATTAATTGTTGGGATCATTAATTGATTACATTCAATTAATTTTCACATGAGACTTGGATAGCTGGAATAATGGAAATTAGTAACGATCAAAAACACTAATTTAAATTAATTCATTATTTTCATGATGCTAATCTATATCACTTATGCTCGCAGATAATAGAATAAATCACATAATCGAGTAAACTGCCCAGCTCTAATTTACAAATTCCTTTATTTCAAAATTGTAAAAATAATTAACTCCCTGAGAAAAAGTTGGGAGGTTAAACAGTAAAAGACTCTTTCTTACCATTCCCTAACTTTACCTTTCACATGTACAAAACTGAATTATCTATAACAAAGTATTTTGACAAACATTTTGTTCAGAGGGAAGATATTAAAGTTCTAATATAAAAAATAAGAAAAACTAAACTACTCAAAGAGCTCATTAAACAATCCTAAACTATAAGTAGACTTAGATATTCAGACCAGGAAATAAAATATTCATAGAATTGAACTATCTAGGGAGTTTGATGAATGTATTTGATATCTCACACTTTGAAAGTATAACAATCATAATTATTTTACTGAAAGTTAAAAAAACAAACTCAAATTAAAAGGAATAACAATATCAAACAATTTCATAATTCAAATTATTTAGGTTTGAAAGAAAAATATTGTCAAGAGAACAGAATGGGATTAAGTACCTTTCCAGCTTCTAGAATTGTACGGTAGATATATTGTTAAACAACACTCAATAACAGCTACGAATTATTTACGTATACAAAATTATGACATACGAGGAAATCTTTCACAGCTTTCACACGAATGCATAGTGTGTGTGCACTTTTAACACAGGGTAAAACTCACGTGCTTGCGTAGTGTGTGTGTGCACTTTTAACACAGGGTAAAATCCATGTGCTTGCGTAGTGTGTGTGCACTTTTAACACAGGGTAAAACCCACGTGCTTGCGTAGTGTGTGTGCACTTTTAACATAGGGTAAAACCCACGTGCTTGCGTAGTGTGTGTGCACTTTTAACACAGGGTAAAACCCACACGCTTGTTCCGAGAAACAAATATTAATAAAATATGTACATTTCCTAATTTGTTGTATGCAATTTAACATTCCTTTCAATTGTCCTACTATTACTACTTATTTTCATTATTCCTACTATGGAAGCTTTCCAAATGTTAGCTAATGCTAACCAAATGAACCAGAACTGAAAACAATTAGTACGCTCCTAAAATTAAGTACACCTGGTTCATTTTTAAGACTGTGTGTCCACCTGACACCTGTTTACAAACTTTGACTGGTTAACATTGTTCCTATAGATATTTCATTAAGGATATATTGTTACCCTAAAGAAAAAATATTTCAATTGCTTACAGAAGTGATGGAGAAGTTTACCAATTTAGCTACCTATATATATAATTAAAACATTTTTTTGGCAAGTGTAGAAGAATCACTGTTTCTAATAGCAGTGCATACACCATTCTTTAAATGAAGGTGGCAACAGTTAACACAGTTATTCATGCAGAATTTCATGTGTAATTAAATGTGATTCATATTTAAATAGATAAAAATGTCTTTTTGTTCTTGTTTTTTGCTGTGACATACTAGATACAAAAAAAGGCACTTATACAAAAATCTTGTTTTGGGACAAAAAAATACTTTGAGAAGTGCGACTGACTAATTTTAAATTTTAGGAAACAAAGAAATGTTATTTTTTATTCAGTTAATGATTATTTATTTCAGAGTACAAAATAAGTCCATTCTTTGTAACAATATTATTTAATTAGGGACAGATCCAGCCAGTACTACCAAACGCAATTAGTCTTAGAAAACTTCTGTCATAAACCAAAATTCTTCTCGGCAATAAAGAAACAAGCTGAGAAAAAAACCAACTTACCATTAACTTTTCATAAATATTATTACTTGCCATACAAGAGAAATAACAAAAGATATTAACAGTTAAACCACTTATGTCTAGAAGAAACAACTGTACACATAAAGGTACTTTTTATACAATCTACTTAAACAATATTAAAATTCTTATGCACAGAAGAATACATGCTTATCTTGATAGTTTTAAGACCAACTAGTTATTTTATGTTCACTAGTATTCATATAATATATTATATTGTGTGTGCATGTATGGGGGGGGGGGGGTAACACACCAATTGAATAGAAATTAAAACACTTAATTATTAAGATTTAAAACTACACAAACATTCCATGCTAGCACAAATTTCTGATCCCTCACACATACAAGTTTATATATATAAAAATCTGCTTACACTGGTTCCAAATTGAATTTCTGACACTTGTGCACGCAGTTTCCCATGTTGCTTGAAAGGCAATTATGACAGAGTTTACGAGGTTCACCCTAATCCTGGATCGTAACAATTTATGTCAAATTTCACAGCCAGCTGAAACAAACTTTTGGATATTCCACAAATTTCTCTTCAAACTGTTTTGAGAGATATCGGCTCAAACAACACACACCACCTTTAACAAAAGATAATGCTATGTTCCAATAATGTATCACACATGAAATGAGGAACTATGGGCTTTTCTTTTTTAGAAATAAATGAATCCCAATTGGATTGTTTCTCTGTCAAGCACTCATGATGTACACAGGACAATAATATAACCATGCAACATTTAAGGTTCTAAACACTTCATCCAGCTGATGTCATTTTAAAGGAGAAACCTTTTTAACACATTAATATCACTTGTAATATTTCCCTCCATCAAGGGATCAGCCACTAGTGTAGTCAGATCCAGTTCAATGCATCCAAGCTCCTCCCACTCACCTGGCAACCTGACTGATTCTAGCACACAGACGTGAAAAACTTGTCCCTGTACTTACTTACACCACTTTCTTCCACACCATTTCATGACAATGTTATCTTACAAGGAGGGTGGCTTGTTCCAGTAACAGCCTATACCTTTCTACCTTTTTTTTTGCCTGAAGGCTTTGTATAAAGGACAAAGTTACAGTTAAACTCCTTCCAAAATAACTTGAGTGTGTTGACCTACTTACCACACAGGTATGACCCAAGGGATGTTGGCCATAACTCAACTAAATATACTTAGATCATATTTACAGATACCACTCACAACAGAATGTATAAGGTACATACACAAAATACTGGCTCACAATTCAAATCTCTTATTAAAGCAGCTGTATATACAGCTCCTATATACATTTTCAAATAATTAAGAACTTAAGTATCAGTATGCTTTTAAGACTGTATTAAGTACTTGTTTGCTAATTGAGAAAAAAAAAAAAACTGTATGGGTGTGTTCCACAATTTGAGAGAGAGAGAGAAAAGCCACATGAATATATAAAAAGCTTGAAATGATGATGTTAAATTTGATTACAGGTAATTCAATGTCGATTTGTTTTTTTACTTAATAATCCCAAAATTTAATATTAAGTAAAGGAATTAACTTTTCCTATCTTGAAAAGGCAACGAACCAGGTGATTAATTCAAAAATATATTGTTATCAAATGAATTGGTATGACTGAAGCATCAGTTTTTTTTGTATTGAATTCTGAGGGAAGAAGGACAAAAGATCATAACCTTAATATCTGGAAAGGTCAGATATATCTCCAGTTGAAGCACTTTTAACTCTCCAATTAAGTGGTAAGTCTGTGGGATAAATTGTCTCTTGAGGTATATAGGCTGCAACTTTACTACAAGTTTATAAAAGGGGTTAATGAATATTTGGGGAATTGGGGCAGAAGTTAGTGATTAGTTTTCTGTTTGATGAAGAAGGTTGGGAACTTGGGAGTTAAAATATCCTTGATGGGCTAAGACTCTTTGATGTTCCATAACTTATAAAGTTTATAAGTAAAGCATTCCTAAAAGTGATAAACTGTAAATCTGGATAAAATTGGAACATGTGAACAACAATCTATTAAACCTGATTTCATTATCAACTGCATAATGAAAATTGTAAAGTAAATCAATGGAGAAATTAGAGATTTACTAACTAAAGCATGAATTAAACATGATTATAATGGACAATGATATTGTGCAGAATTTGTGGAAAGGAAATTATTCCTGGAGCAGTTCTTACAATACATGGCACATTTTTCAAAAGGTTTCAAAATTTTCACAATAATAGTCTACAGAAAAAGCTGCAAAGAAAGATAATTAAATAAATATTAAAGCTGCTAGGAAAGATAATTAAATAAAAATTACACTGCTTCAAATTTCAAGACTTGCTCATAGCAACACCATTAATATTTATATTAACAAAGTTTCTTGTAAAAGACTCTCTACAATTTAAGCAGCCATTGTCAAACTGGTAAAAAAAACTAATGAAAGAGTAAACTTCACCAAAATTTTTGTTTCATTATTTTACTTTTAGTTTTCAAGCTCTAACGTAATTTTGTAAAATATGCATTTATTAATTTTGCTTTTATCCAAACACACAGCATGCAACTTAGATACAGTTATAAATCATTGCTTAGTTGTATAACTACCACTCAGCTGCTGAAATCCATAAAGCAACCAAGGCAGATCCTATAAGTATAGGATCATTCACTTCTAGATTTAGTACATACAAAAGTCAAGGTATTTGGCTTTTTTGAAATTTGATCAATACTGAGAAGAGATTCAATAATGAAAAAAAAGGAGAAATGAATACTTGGTTGATCTGTAGTATTGTCTTTCATTGGTGAAGGGAAAGATGGGAACGAGCATAGTTGTTGAAGGACACTGGACAACAAGGAGGTGCGACAGGTAGGTCTGGCTTGCGGAACAGGAAAGGTCGATCTTTGAGGAAATGAGCAGCTTTATCTTTTATAGAACTCACTCATTTTTGAAGTTGTCAAATTGTAATCAAAGTGGCCAATGGGGTGTCTTATACGAGGCTCAGAAAATTCTTGTAATTTTAGGAAAATGCTTATTTACTCAGTGCATAAACAAAATAGTAACAGTAATAAAATGCTATCTAAGACTTTGCTTACAGTATTCAGGATATTTCATGTGATTTTATACAAGTTATACAGAGCTTTAGTAGTTATAAATTGTTTATATGAAAATACAAAAGTAAAGGAAAAAAAAACTGGGAAAGCAGACTTAAAAACCTAAGATATATATATGGAGAAACAGAAAAGTTTTTACAAGTTATGTAAAACATTCATAAAACAAATATCCTTCTTAATCTCCTCAAAACTGCATTAAGTCTTATTTTTAAATTGATGAACATGAAAATTAATCATTATAAATGTTGTCCTTCCACAAAATTAAGACTTGTTGGTGAACATAGCAAACAAACACCATACATACATACAATTATCAGTGCAGAATTATTTATGACTGATATAAATGTTCTTAACCTACTAAATATGTTCATATGTAATGAATCTATGTTCCTCCACTGTTTAGGAACATATTTATATAAAACTTTGGAACCTTGATATGCTGGAAAAGTCTCAAATAAAAGCTACTAAAATGATCCTTAGCTTGAGAAATTTATGCAATCAAGAAAGAGTTAAAGCCTGAATATTTTTTTTTATGAAACACAGAAGAGCAATAGCAACTACTCAGGAAGTTAAAATTTCCAGGAAGACAAACTACCCATGATATCCCTTCAGCAGTAGAATGAAAACTTCAATGTCAGGTGTAACATGTATAAGCTTTGGAAGTTTGTATCTATATTGGTTCTCTTATGAAAGGCTTTGTTCTCAGTTACTTCTATAAACTTGCTAAAAGAAACATCTGATGATATGGTGGTGTGTGTTAGAACAACCACTCATGGTACTTGAATACTTGTGCCAAGTTTAGTTTATCTAGGTTGTGAATGAGGCTATAAACACAATTTAAAACATGGTAGTCTCCAGGATTGTATGGGAGGCTATGAACAAAATCCAATGCCAGGCTTGGGTTAGAAGCCCTGGAATGCTACTAATAGACCTACACACACACATCAAACATGCCTGGGTGACCTCCCTGGCACATTTTAGCCTTCTTGACAGAAGTTAAGTCGTATAGATAAGGCCCACCCTGAGTCTACCTGCCAAGTCTGGTTTTGTTAGCTTCAGAACTCTGAGAGGAGTTGGCTGAACCTACAGTCATACACATATATAAAGGTACAATCTGAATTAATGTAGGGTAAAGACACAACTTAGTAAGCTGGAGTTACTTTTAATAATGTTGTAAATGAGAAAAGGATAAAAATATCATTCTTATAGAATGCAAAAAAAAAGTTACTGTCACCAGAACATAATTACAAACCAAAATTATTTTTTTAATTCATGGTATTACAGACCGATTGCATATATGACTAAAGTAAATTTTACATTTAATACAAAACAATACATTGCCACTCAACATGTTTATTATGTTGAACATTTACATTATATCCTAGCTCAAAGTTTCTAAAGTTAGTAAAAATTTAAAACTTACCTAACCAAGGGTCTTCACTAGGCTATATTTAGTACATATATTTTTTTATGAGATTAGTCTTAATACTTTACTTAGCCTGACAGTAATAGTAATATAAGCTCTGTCTGAAAATTCTAGACTCGTTAGAACTTAGGATCGCTTGATTCTTAACTAAGAGTAAAATTTTAAGCTAATTCAGTACAAAGATATACTAAGTACCTTAAAAATATTTAGAAAAGGTGGAGAAGGGCTTAAATCTAATGAAAAATCCAGAGTTCCAATACAAATACTTGAAATAGTCAAGTTTTAAACTAATACAACTTACAACTCAAGTGTAGCAGCAAAAAACTGAAATAATAAATTTAACCTTGCACTTTACAATGCACACAGAACACCAGAAAAATCATTTAGTATATTATATAATTAATACTTGAAATCGCTGGTGCTTGTTGAAACTCAATCATTACAGAAATGAGGAAACCAAAGACTACTGAACGTTTCACAATTAACGAATTATTGCATTTAATACTACCAAAGTACCATATTTTCTCTGGCGAAACCATGTGTAATAATTAATATTAAAATAGTATATTGTTATATTAAACTTTCATATTACGACCAATGTTTAGAGGGAGAGGAAACTACTTTAAAATATACATTCCCTTTTCTTCCCAAACGCATTAGAAAATACAAGAACCTCAGTAATTACTTTTGCTTTTCAGTTTAATACTAAACTTTAAATTATCAACTCACTTTTCGCTTGACATTCTTTAGAAGTTATGTTACCGGTGTATGTTGCCGCCCTCTTATGGATGAACCCGGAAACCGAATTGCGAATTTATCGAAAATATATATAATGTGTCGTCATGATGAGTCAGCACAAAGCAACTTTGTTTCATGGAAGAACAAATGCGCTTTTTCATTACCTTTAGTCCAAAAGTTATTATTAAAGATGTGATATAATTTTGAAATAAAATGTCACTGCCCTTTTCTTCAATATATTTATAATCGCATGATATGCATTCTGCGTAACTTCAACATCTATGTCCTATCATATTTTATTATATACGAATATTCATGGTAACATTTTGACCAATCACAGTGAAGGTCTACTTATACAGTTTTCCCTGTAATTATTGCTGGAAGATATTTCTTCGTAAAGTTGCAACGAGGTAAATATTTTCTATTCTAAACTTTCAAATTACATTTTAAGCTAAGATCTGTCATTCGCGGTTGCTGTATAACTACGATGTTCATCACTAGACTGGTTAGAAGTATAAAATCTGAAAACATATATACAGAATACAAGTTTTCCAAAATACATAAATAAAACATATGCATTGTAATACGGCGGTTAAATTTCCTTCAAAATTGTATATATATTTTTTCTAAATTAATTCATGATCGGTGATGTAGAAAAGATAAGATCGTGATCCAAAATTCTCTTTTCATAAGTTGTTTAAATCCCTGTAATCGTATAAAATATTGAAACGTTTTAGTAAGAGAAAGGATAGCCTACAAAAGCTGTATATACAGTAAGTAATTTTAAGTTTTATTACCAAATACTTATTGCATTTTATATATTTGATTAAGTCATTTAACTTTTATTACCAAATATTTATTGCAATATATATATATATATAATTTCATAAAGAAAGTAAAAGAAAATAGCTTGATTTAAACACTTATTATACATTTTTTAATGTGTTAGTGTGTTCACCTAGTGGTTGTACTGAAATCGTTTTGTTATTGCACAAACCGTTACAAGAAACGTATCTTTACGTCGTAATCTATACTTGGAAATCAGAGCCTGTAATTTCCCTGTCGGAAGCCACACACTATTTCCGAAAAACCGTTCATTTATTATACATAGGTATTACAGATGCTAAATTTGCAAACAGTGAAACTTATCTTTATCACCAAAAATTATTAAAAAAGATAGTTTCTTAATTCAAAGAATTCCTCCCTACCTTTAATCTCTGAGCAAATAACTTACAAATATTAATGCTCAATTAATCAAATCCTAAATCTTTTATCAATTCCAATGGAAGAGCTAAAAGTTGGGTTTCAATACTCGTGGTGGGCAGAGCATAGATAGCTCATTATGTAGCTTGCACTTGACAACAAACAAACCAATGAATGAAAAAACTTTGTTATTTACAAATTACTTGCGTTTGTTTTTAAATGCTCTGAAATTAACAGAACGCTTATGTTTAACATTTCATTTTTCTTATCAACAGATATTATAATAACATCAAGTCTAGTCTTACTTCGAATTTTATAATAAAAGTATTTGCTATCGATTTTCAAATGGCAATAATTAACATTAAAGCTCATTTTGGGTATTAGTAGACAATGAACCGTTTCAAAGTATAGGAAAATATGGCATAGGTCAAAGAAAAAACAGAGGAGAAAGATTTATTGAGTTTGCAGAAAAAGAACAGTTAGTAATAGAAAACACTTTGTTTGAGAAACAAAAAATGAGGTATTGGACATGGGAAAGCCCAGATGGAAACACACAAAAAAAACAAAAAACAAATCGACTTCATACTGGTGAACAAAAAAGAAATCATGGAAAATTGTGAAGCCATAACTAAGGCAGGCATAGGAAGGGATCACAAAATGGTGTGGACAAAAATTAAGACAATTAAATAATTGGCGAGACTTAAAACTATACAAAAGAAGAAAGCTCTCAAGATAAATATTAATCATTTAAATGAGAATAAAAGAGATTTTGAGTTAAACCTAAGAAACAGATTTGGAGTGTTGGAGGAAGACCAAGATCTGGATAACGTTTGTGAACAACTAAATGAAATTTTAATCGAAGAAACAGAAAAAAATCAACAGGTTTTCAAAACAAAGTCTAAACAGAGATGAGGAGTATGACCTTATAAAAAATAGATGGCATGAAAAAGGAATTAAAACGAATAGAGAGGAAGACCATACAAGAGAAAGTTAAATATGCTGAGTTAACTAATATAGTAAGGAAGAAAAGAAGAAACAGAACAAGAAATAGAAATAGAAGGAAAAAAAATTGAAAATATCTTAAAAGCTGGTAGAGGGCCTAAGAATATCAATAGAGTGGTTGTAAACAGGAAAATATGCTCAATAAAAAACAAAGAAGGAATCACCAAAAATGATAGAGCAGAAATAGTTGAGATATGTGCAGATTTTTACAGAGATTTATATACATCAACTATTAAAGATGAAAGTGGAACAGAAATAAGTTTTGAGAACAACAAAGCAGATAAAACAGAAGTGCCTAAAATTTTAGTATCGGAAGTGAAGCATGCATTAAATGAGATGAAGAGTGGGAAAGCTCCAGGAAACGATATGATCACTAGTGATATTTTGAAAGCAGGTGGAACTGAAACATTAAGGCAGATAACAAAATTGTTTACAATTGTTGTAGTCAGAAAAGATACTAAAGACATGGAAAGAGGCCAATATCATCCTTTTGTACAAGAAGGGAGACAGGGAAGATATAAAGAATTACCACCTCATAAGTCTGTTATATCACTTATATAAATAATTCACAAGAGTACTATAAAACATGTTGGAAAGAATTTTGGACGAACACCAACCAAGAGAACATGGAGGCTTTAGAAAAATGTTTTCAACAACAGATCATTTACATGCAACTCATTTAATATTGTGCTGTGTTCTACAGAGTCAAATGCTTTTTCATAATCTATAAATCCCACACTCAAAGATAAGTTGTATTCATTTGATAATTTACCTACAATAGGTGTCAATCTAATGTACATTAAAATCTTAAGAGATATACACACATACGCAACAGCAAAATTACATCTTGATAAATAGGTATCATCAGTGATAAAGATAGAGAGAGGGGAGAGACAGGGTGATCCAATATTTCCGAAACTGTTTACAGCAACTTTGTAAGAAGTTTTAAGACAAACTGAACTAGATATTGAAGGTATAAAAATAGATGGTGTGTCATTAACAGATCTGTGGTTTGCAGATGGTGTAGCTCTCTTTATAAATTCAACAAAAAAGATGGAAGCCCTATACAGTTTGAATGCCAGTAGCAAGGAAGTAGGACTAAAAATACATAAGGGAGAAACCAAATATATGACCAACTATCATGACACAGATACCATTAAAATTGAGAATGAAGAAACAGAGAAAATGTCAGAGTACAAATATTTAGGACAACCCTCAAAATGGAAAACACAACAAGCGAAGAAATTATGGTGAGAATAAAGGCAACATGGCAATGTTTTGGAATGTATAAAGAAATTCTAGAGAATCAAGATATCCCCATTACTTTGAAGGAAAAGATCATTGATCAGTGTGTACTAGCAACCTTAAAATATGGCTGCCAAACATAGGCACTAACAAAAAAAAAAAAGAAACCACACAAAGAGCTATGAAAAAAACAACAACTTCATATAACACTA